TGAATTTATACACTTTGAATAAAGTTTGGCAGTTTATGGAAAACAACACTCATATTATCAGAATTGCTACTGGTGATGTAAAACAATTAGAAGGGGTGGAAACCATGACAAACTGCCAAGACCCCGCAACATACATTGACAACTGTATAGACACAATGTTTAAATATAATATTTTCTTAAAAATATGTAAGAGAGTAGGAGCAAAGGACAGCGTAGAAGGAGAAAGAAACAGAAAAATATAAAATGATATGTATAATGACTGGTGGGAAAACAACATTCCACGCAAAGAGTTTATACTTAAATACAGTTATTTAACCGATGACATCATGGCATCAGAGCATAATATCGCTTATACCAATATGAGATGCGAAAATGTAGCAAATGAGATTAGAGACAGATTAAACATAAGTGAGAAATATGTAGTGGGTGATATTTTGGTTTCCAGAACATGGATTAAACAACCAAGGGTTAATATCAATTTGAGGTACAGGATTACAAAGATAGAAGATGATGAATTAGGGAAGCAAATAACATTACAGAATATAGCAAGACAAGAAGATGAGTTTATGTTGTTTGAACCTATTGTAGATAAAAACTTCATCTATCCTTACTGTGCTACTTGTCATTCAAGCCAGGGGTCAAGCGTAAAGGAAAGCATAACTATTCACGAATGGGACTTACCCATAACCAGCAGAGAGTGGATATGGACGGCATTGACTCGCTGTGTTGATTTTAGGAAAGTTAAATTTTATTGTAATCCAGACTTTGATAAGCAAATGGATAAAAATATGATAATGAGATATTTTAAAAACAAAGTAGAAAATTATAAGATACAAGACCGTCGCGCTCAAAGAGAAATTAATGAGGAAGAATACATTAGTGTTGAATGGTGTTTATCACAGTTTCGCGCCAGATGCCAAAAGTGTAATACTTCATTTAACTTTGAAACGAAGAAAGGTAAATTATGTAGCAATTTTACTTGTCAGCGCCTTGATAATTCAATCGCTCACCATATAGATAATTCAACTTCATTCTGTGTATATTGTAATGTTTCAGCTCATTAAGATTTTAATATTTTTTCATAATAAAATCTTAGTTTTAGACTAAAAAAGGTTTAAAGAAATAATACCTATATATATATATTAGTGAGTAATGAAGGAACAAGAAGTAAATAATTATATCAATAAGAAATGCTATGACTGTTGCCACTTCAAAAAAGAACATATGGAATTATACAAAATGAATTTACCTAATGGAATAGTTAATAATATTATTGATTATGCTTTGGGTAAAGAAGATGAATGTAAAATTTGTCAGGAATGGAGAAATAATCAAGAATTAATCAGATATCATTTAAATTTGGAAAGAAGAAATAATAGAAATGTTGGAGATGAAATTTTGATATTTTTAACTGTGTATGAAAGACCACCTTATAGTTATGTTAGAATATTTCTCAAAATCGGTAAGAAAAAGTATGAAATGATTAACCATATATTATGGATGTTGTTGAATCGTAGGAAAGACGGGTCTGATTTAAAAGGAGACATTAAATCATATATTGAAAGCAACAAGTTTAATGTGAAAAATACCGTGAGAGATATCAATATTATTTTTGAACTGATGCATGACAGACGTAAGATATATACACAATTTAATAATCATCAATTAACTTATTATCCTGAGTTTAAATTATAAATAATATTATCAATATAATAAATCTTAATTTATTATATGGATAAACAAAAAATAATTAGTGATATTTACTATGACAAAAGCGGATACGGTAGTAAAGCAATAACTTTGAAAGATTCCAGACAGAAAGATAAAACTATTACTGCGGACGATGTTAATGAGTTCTTTAAAAAGAATGTTGAGGAAAAAAGGAAAATGCGAGGGCAGAATAGTTTTGTTGCCCCTCATGCCTTCTGGGAATTTCAGTTAGATTTGTTTTTTATTTCAAAAAATGATTTGGAAAATCAAAAGTTTAGAATTGGATTAATATTAATTGATATATTTAGTAAGTATGCTACTGTAATACCTATTGCAAGTAAGCAACCGCCAGACGTATTAGCAGGAATAATGGAAGGCATTAAGAAAATGGGCGGAAAACCCAAAATGATATACAGCGACGAAGAAGGCAGTTTGTTTAGTTCTACCATTACAGATTATCTTGATGAGGAAAAAATTGAATTACACACCACGAGAGGCCACCCTGCTTTTGGAGAAAGATTTATTAGAACCTACAAAGATATGCTTTTTAAAAGAGTTGATGCGGATGAAAAGAAAGGTAAAAACAATATACAATGGATAGATTACAATTTAGAAATATTATTGACATATAATAATAAATTAGTAAGTTCCGTTACGAAAATGACACCATTAGAAGCAAGGAAGAAAAAGAATGAGTTTGAAGTGAAACTGAATATATCAATGAATGCCAGAAAAACCCGTGTGTATCCTGATTTAGATGTAGGGGACAAAGTCAAGATAATGAGAAAGAAAGCGATTAGCGAGAAAGAGAGAACCAGTCATTGGTTAAGGACAGTCCATACAATAACCAAAATAGAAAATAAATTGGGGCAGAAGTATTATCATGTTAGTGATTTTCCCAAACCTCTATTGCGACATGAAATGTTGAAATTATAGTTTTAGACTAAAAAGGTTTAAAGAAATAATACCTATATATATTAGTGATAAATATGGCTGTATTTACAGAGGTTGAACAGGAAGAAATTATCAATGAATTCTTAACTTATATTGAACAACAAGAAACTAAAATAATTGATGAATTTTTGAGTGATAATGATAATAAAACAGAAGAAGAAGATGACAGTTACGGATTTGTAACTGAAAAACGGTTAGAAAAGGAAATTACAGAACATCATAAAATGATAAACAATATTGAAACGAAAAATTACATCCCATTAAAACATGCAATGATAAAATATATGGAACAAACCAACAACCAACACATAATTAGAAATGCTGGAAACTATTCATACAGTCAAAATACATCCAATTGGTGGTATTTAAGCTTTAGAGAATTTGAATGGTTAATCGAAATGAAAAAGAATGGCAACAGATGGGTTTGTAGCAAGGAAAAATTAGATGCAGTTGATTTTAACATATTGTATAACTATAAAATGTTTAGAAAAAGATTTGATTAATTATAAAAAACGAATGAACCAGACCTTGCCCATAATATGTCTACAACATTTGTGATAAAATTTATTGTAAAATAATTTATCATATGTTTTGGAATAATATTTTTTGAAAATTTTGTAAAACTATATTTTCTAAAATTTATATTTTAAAATTTATATTTTACAATATGGATGAACTTACTAGGAAATTACCTGCTTTGAAATGTTGAAATTATAGTTTTAGACTAATAAGATAAAATTATTAGATTTATTCAATATATTTGTAATTGTTCTTTGTGTTGTTTGTTGTTTGGTTTGTTGTGTTGGTTTGTTGTTTGGTGTTTTTTTTCTATGAGGGTCTTACCCCAGAGCAAAAATATTATTTGTGTCTAAAACTATTTAAAGGGATGTGGGTAATACAAAATAGAGGTTATGGAAAAGAAATATTGCTCAGGATGTCGGAGAGATAGAAATGTGGATTGTTTCATTGATAATTATAAGAATTGTGAAAGATGCCATGAGAAAGGAAAAAGGAAGAGCAAGGTTAATTATCATTGTGATGTGTGTAATTGTGAGATTAGGAAAATGAATAAAGCGAGACACGAATTAACTTACAGGCACGAGGAAAATTTAAGAAATAATGAGGTTAAGGAACATTGAGTTGGTTTAAGTTATTTATCAAACATGAATAACTTAAAACAATTGCTGGGTGGATTGATTTTTACAGGATTTATGCCAAACATATTTGGTTGGTTTTGGGCGGTGCTTTTTAAATGGCGTGAAAACCATAGGGTGGAGTATGGACAATTTTGCTTGTTGGTAAGCTCCTTCTTGCTGGGGGAGGGAGGGGGGCAGGGTCGCTCGGGATTGTTTAGACAGACCTGTAACACTTTTTTTTCCACTCATTTGGCCTTATTTGATTTTTGGAAGCCGCCATTTATTGCGGGTTAATATAAGCGTGTCTTTGCGAGGTCCGTAGGCTGTCTATAGGGTCTCTCAGCATTTTTGTTCGCCTTCGGCCTGGTTGTTCTTTAGCGTATACCTTATGGACCAAGACTTGGGGAGGTAGCTGAGAGGATTTGGCGGTCTCCTTTTCGTCCAAAACCTTTCGAGATGCCTCCAAGATCGGTTGCCACCTGGCATTCCGTTTGAGACAGCTGGCAAAAGGGGTCGAAATGCACTTGCAAACGTTGAAGGTGGAAACCCCCAAAGGAAGCCAGCCATGAAGGGCTGTCTATTTGAGATAGACCCCTTTGAGTGTTCAACCCACGTCAGGTAAGTGAACCCACCAAATTGTAAATCCTTCAATCCTTCTGTGATAAGGAATGACAAGGATTTCCAATGAAAAGTGATAAGTGTTCATGACCCGTGAATCAGCTTTGGCAAATATAATTTGCTTGAAGTGACTGAGCCCTTAGACCAATGAAAATCTAATCTACCACCTTGGCATCACAGATTTTGGGCCGTTCCAATCACGGAAGCCAGCACACGGAATTTGGAAGACAGTCCTCTTGGAAAGGCCCCCAATCAACCACTTCCATGACTCTGGGAATGAGAGTGCTACCAACTGGAACCCAACACCCATGACTCGTAGAGGACCCCCCCTTCCCTTTTGGGAACAGAACGGGACGCACGTGCCCCATTTTTCCCCATGGTTTTCGGTGTCTGGTTTTTTTTTCGTTCTTGTGGAACCACATCATCCTGGGAACCTCCCCTGATTTTTTTTCTCGGCTGGACCAAGCAACTCGTTTTGGGTGGCGTCCCTTGAATTTCTACTGGGCACCCCTTGGAGGGCGCCCTTCCTCCCGCGAAAACTTTCGCAGAAAACCCCGCGGTCAGACGGGCGCCGCGTCCGAGGCTGGCGGCGGTGCCCGCGGACCGGGTGGCGGTGCTGAGTTTGCCCCCGCTGGGGGAGGCGCCGAAGGCGGCGAATTCGGCCGCGGAGCTGCTGGAGGGCTACAACCAGTGGCTGGGCACAGAAAACAGAATCGCTACAGGTTGGGTAAAACCAGTTTTGGGTTGGGTAAAACCAGTTTTGGGTTGGGTAAAGCCAGTTTTGGGTTGGGTAAAGCCAGTTTTGGGTTGGGTAAAGCCAGTTTTGGGTTGGGTAAAGCCAGTTTTGGGTTGGGGTAAAGCCAGTTTTGGGTTGGGTAAAGCCAGTTTTGGGTTGGGTAAAGCCAGTTTTGGGTTGGGTAGCCAGTTTTGGGTTGGGTAAAGCCAGTTTTGGGTTGGGTAAAGCCAGTTTTGGGTTGGGTGAACCAGTTTTGGGTTGGGTAAAGCCAGTTTTGGGTTGGGTAAAGCCAGTTTTGGGTTGGGTAAAGTTTTGGGTTGGGTAAAGCCAGTTTTGGGTTGGGTAAAGCCAGTTTTGGGTTGGGTAAAGCCAGTTTTGGGTTGGGTAAAGCCAGTTTTGGGTTGGGTAAAGCCAGTTTTGGGTTGGGTAAAGCCAGTTTTGGGTTGGGTAAAGCCAGTTTTGGGTTGGGTAAAGCCAGTTTTGGGTTGGGTGAACCAGTTTTGGGTTGGGTAAAGCCAGTTTTGGGTTGGGTGAACCAGTTTTGGGTTGGAGTTTTTGGTTGGGTGAACCAGTTTTTGGTTGGGTAAAACCAGTTTTGGGTTGGGTAAAGCCAGTTTTGGGTTGGGTGAACCAGTTTTGGGTTGGGTAAAGCCAGTTTTGGGTTGGGTGAACCAGTTTTTGGTTGGGTAAAACCAGTTTTGGGTTGGGTAAAGCCAGTTTTGGGTTGGGTGAACCAGTTTTTGGTTGGGTAAAACCAGTCTTGGGTTGGGTGGTTGCGTAAAACCCGTTTTTGGTTGGGTAAAACCAGTTTTGGGTTGGGTGAACCAGCTTTTGGTTGGGTAACACCAGTTTTTTGGCTGGGCAAAACCAGTTTTTGGTTGGGTAAACCAGCTTTTGGTTGAGTAAAAGCCAGTTTTGCGTTACACGTTTTTGGTTGGGCAAACCAGTTTTTGGTTGTAAAACCAATTTTGGTTGGGTAAAAGCTAGTTTTTGGTTGGGTAACCAGTTCTCGGTTTGGTAAAGCCAGTTTTTGGTGGGGTAAACCAGTTGTTGGTTAAGAACCAGCTTTTTTTCGGTTGGGCAAAACCAGGTTTTGGTTTGGTAAAACCAGTTTTTGGTTGGACAAACCAGTTTTGTTTTGGGCAAACCAGTTTTTGGTTGGGCAAACCAGTCCTGGTTGGTAAACCAGCTTTTGGTTGGGTAACACCAGTTTCTGGTTGGGCAAACCAGGTTCTGGTTGGGCAAACCAGGTTTGGGTAAAACCAGGCTTTGGTTGGGTAAAACCAGTTTTTGGTTGGGTAAAACCAGTTTTTGGTTGGGTGAACCAGTTTTTGGTTGGGTAAAACCAGTTTTTCCACAACAACTGAAAGCTTTGGGGTCTCAGCCCAGATACGCTCCGGGGTGGTCCGGGGCGGCCCTGAGGTAAGGTTCCACAAGGGTTCCAGCAGGGTTCCACCAGGGTTCCAGCAACGTTCCACCACCAAATGATTGGGCAAACCAGTTTCGGGTTGGGTAAGTCAGTTTCCAGTTTTGGTTGGCAACCTAGTTTTTTGGTTGGGTGAAACCAGTTTTTGGTAGGGTAAACCATTTCTTGTTTGGGTAGAGTTTTTGGATGGGTAAAACCAGTTTTGGGTTGGGGTTTTTTGGTTTGGCAAACCAGGTTTTGGTTTGGTACAACCAGGTTTTGGTTGGGTAAAACAGGTTTTGGTTGGGTAAAACAATTTTGGGTTGGGTAAAGTTTTTGGTAGGGTAAAACAAGTTTTTGGTTGGGTAAAGCAGTTTTTGGTTGGGCAAAACCAATTGTTGGTTGGGTAAACCAGTTTTTGGTAGGGTAAACCAGTTTTTGGTAGGGTAAACCAGTTGACCAATTGGGTAAACCAGTTTTTGGTTGGGCAAACCAGTTTTGGTCGGGAAAGCCATTTTTTGGTTGGGGAAACAGATTTTGGTTGGGCAAGCCATTTTTCATACTGTGGATGGTGGCGAAATCCTCTCAGGCACCACCATTCAGAAACCCTGGAACGATTCCATTACCCTTTGTTCCAGGTCTTCGTCCATAAGTATTGACCAAACTGGCTGACCTCCCACCCCCGAAAAAAAGAAGAAGAAACGGGTGGAAAACGATTTTAGTGGTTAACGAAGTCATCAACTCCTTGTTTCTGGACTCTTTTTTACTTTTGCTGTGGTCACGCCCTGGGCCGGGCCAGAGTAACCCGCACACACAAGAGGTGCTCTTTTGTTTTTTCTTTTGGGCTTGGACCATTTGATTGCTGACCCTTTTTTCAACTTTGTGCCTTGGGGTTCCCTGATGTTTCCGTATCCTTTTTGCGGGTCTAAGTCTGGTCCAGTAAAATGGAACCCAATTTTCAGAAGAAACTCCTCTTTAAGGGCCCCTTTTTGGGCAAGCCGTGTGAAATTGCAGAGCCCAAAAATTGGGATCGGTCCTCAATGGTAGGCTTGTGACTCCTTGCATACCAACCAAGAGCGGGACCGCATTCTTTGGAGGGAAGCTTTTGGCCCGTTTTAGGGAGACCCTTATTGCTTCAGAGATAAAGGACACCCCGCCGTTTTGAGCCAGTGGCTATGGCTCATCAAGTAAGGATTTTGGACCCTGGACCCTCAAAATTCTTATTGGAGTCCTTTTGAACCAACCTGGAAAAGGGATGAAAAGGGCACCGAGCCTCAACAAAAAGACACGCCCAACAAAAGAAGTCGATGTTTATATATATATATATGTATCATATATATATATATAAACGTGCTCATTTTTGTGTGGTACCATTCTTTGTTGTGCCCGTTTGGGTTTCATTGGTTTTGCCTTTTGCCCAGGAAAATGTCTTCTGTGGTTGCAAGAACTCTGGGAACAATCCGAGCTCACCGGTGATGAAGCTCGGGGTTCCCTGTTTCCAAAAACATACTTAGACCCAGCAATTTGGTCCACCTTGAAGTTTTCCAGAAATCATGGGGGCCCTCGGGCAATAGCATGTTTTTCTAAATTGTAGCAGTTTCCCCGATTGTTTCCCAAGCACCATACTCGTCAAGTTGGAAGCCGCAAAAGCATGTCCAAGTCTAGCTGAGGTGTTGCTTTTCTCCGACTCTCACGGTAGGCTCACCTTCTGAGTTCATGGACTGTATACATGTTTTGACAAGACCGTTACAGTGGCAATCAACAAGTGCTGGATTTTGTTTTTCCTCATCAACTCAAGAAAGTCAGTCGGGATCCTTTTTCGGCTTCCACCCCTTCGCCGCTTCGCCCAAGGGAGATCCGTAGCGCTGTTGAAGCGGATGCCCGTGCCTGCTACGTGCCCTTTGGTGAGGCCTTGCAGTCTGGAGGTCACGGAGGCGAGCTGGCTGTGTCCCATGTGGTGGGTTTCCGTGTCCCAACAGGAAAACCAACATGTTGTTTTGTTTTGTGGTTTTAAAGGACACTCGGAAAGGAACAAGGACAGTATTGTAAACGCTTCGCGTTGCCCGCCTCGGCCAGTCCGCTTTTGGCTGGCTTTGAGGTGTACGCTGTGCTTTAGTTTGCCTTGAAGTCTTGTGTTTGCGTGAGCTGGTTTCCAAGGTAGAGAGTCGGTGCATGTCTGCGTGTTTCCACATGTCTTCAAGGGCCAGAATGAGAGCTGCAGAGAGAGCTACAGAATGGCAGTGAGCTTGGGCCAAGCGAAGGTGAATTTAACCATTTTAGTCGCCAACAAAAAGTTCAGACTTTTTTGTACCATCCACTTGAGAAGTGAGTCTTAAAGGGAGACCAAAAGGAATACCAACATGTTCTTTTGGGGGAAAAACAGGACAAACCCACGTAACCAAGGACCAAAGGACCATGGAAGTGGACTGGACCCTTTCCCTTAAAGGGGATCGTGTTGCCTTCCAGAAAATCCCATATTGACACCCACAACGGGTGAATCTGCAGGATTGCTCCAAGTCTTTAGATGATCCAATCTCAAAGGTGGCAAATTTGTTGATATCCTTGATTTGAGTTGCAACCGGAGTTTGACCACTGCACACATGACCTTGAAGTCCTTGCCTGTGGGCCCACAGTTTTGACTACAAATGCGGGTGTCTTTTAAGATTGGTGGCCCCGAAACGTACTTGGCCAGTTTGCGAATGTTGCTGGAGGGTTGTGGGATGCCCTTTTTCGGAATCGAAAAGAAACCACGCCATCCAGAAGGCCCTCCGTTGCGGCGATCCGGGTGCAAAGACCTCGGGAGTTCATGGCAATCCTTGGGGAGTTTGCCACTGGAGTTCCGCTTTACCACCCGCAAGTCATTTACAGACAATAGACAGACCCTTCCGCTTTCTTCCGTTAGATGAAAAAACATCACTCTCACTTGGGCTGGATTTACTGGCCGAGCCCTGTTTTCACAGCTTGAGCAAAAAACGAGTGTTTTTTTGGGTTACTTCTTTCCATTGGTAAAAACCGATCGCAAGACACACAGCGAGCATTGGAGCTTGGAGGAGCTTACAGTAGCACTGCCATACTGTGGATGGACGAAATCCTGCACCACCTAAGAAACATGGGAAACCATTGCTCGTTGGTATTTGCAGGGGAGCCGTCATTCCAGGGCTTTCTTAGGCGGTGCAGGATTTCGTCCGTCCACAGCAGCATGCATCTGCGATGCTTCTGCAAAGCATCAGGTCTCCCCACCCCACAGAAGCCGGAGTTGAGGGAGTGGGATGGAATCGGGGGCACCCTGTGACAGTGGTCTGTGGAAATCCTCCGCTGTGTCCATGGTTGGCCGTTGGTATGGCAGGAGCTCGATTTATTCCTCTTCCTTTGAATGGAGTTTAGGGACTTGGAGTCTACCACTACTAAACATATTTGGTATTGTTGCCAGGACTAAAAATCAGGATTAACGGACCACCTCACGGACCACCTCACGGACCACCTCACGGACCACCTCACGGACCACCTTGTCATGGTTTTTGATCAAAGACTTAAAGTTTTGGAATATCAGGTTGGTTTCGTTTGGACCTCAGGCGAAAGGGCGGGAACCCTGGCATGCCAGAGGCTTTGATGCCTCATCGTTCGGCTTCGCCCAGACCATTGCTCAAATGTGCCACCGGCAGCAAAGACCCGGGGTTGGCTTGGTTGTGTACATGTGCATATTGTCGTGTTTTGGGATGTTTGATTGTTTGTTTGTTTGCTTGCTTGCTTGCTTGCTTGCTTGCTTGCTTGCTTGCTTGTGTGCTTGTTTGCTTCTTTGTTTGTGTGTTTGGCAGGTTGGTTGGTTGCTTGTGTGTTCTTGTTTTGTTTGTTTGCTTATTTGTTTGTTGTTTGGCTGGTTGATTGGTTGTTTGGTTGCTTGGTTTCTTGTTTGTGTGTGTTGTTTGTTTTGTTTGTTTGTCTGTCTGTTTGGTTGGTTGGTTGGTTGGTTGGTTGGTTGGTTGGTTGGTTGTTTGGTTGTTCGTTTCTTTCTTTGTTTGTTTGTTTGTTTGTTCGCTCGCTTGCTTGCTTGCTGGCTTGCCTGCTTGCTTGCTTCCTTGTGTGTGCTTCCTTGCTTGATTGCTTGCTTGCATGCCTGCGTGCGTGCCTTGCTTGCTTGCTTGCTTGCTTGCTTGCTTGCTTGCTTGCTTGCTTGCTTGCTTGCTTGCTTGCTTGCTTGCTTGCTTGCTTGCTTGCTTGCTTGCTTGCTTGCTTGCTTGCTTGCTTGCTTGCTTGCTTGCTTGCTTGCTTGCCTAGTTGTTTGTGGGCAGATGTCCTTTCTCTGAGTTGGTTGAGTTCCATCAACTGCAATTCACTGCGGGATTCAGCTCGCAGTAGGACTCAAGTAGGAGCGTGTTGGTTTCCTTATGTAGACGAAACTGTGGGGTTGTCTTTGGCTAAATGGGCAACCCCGGCAACCCAACGTGTGGTAGAGAAGTAGCTTCCGTTTTTTAACGATTTGGTTTACTTGCGATGTGGATCCAGCTGGGTCACAATCAAAGCCTGGAGACAGTCCGCAACCCACAGTTATGGTTGGAACTGCTGTCACCCGATTACAGTCAGGTATGCGCACACTGCGCTGCAGCAGCTGCCGTTCTTCTCCTTCGACTCGCTGGGAAAACTGTACGGGCGCCAGGCGCCTTCGGATGAAGTCGTGAAATCCAAAGGAGGTTTCGCAGCTTTTTAGCCTCCAGTCACTGGATTCTCAAAACTGATTTCGGACACTCTGATGGTTGGTAAAGGGAAATGAAAAGGTACCCAACCATTCTAGGAAGCCACAATTGGACATGGTGCGTGGTGCACCGTTCGACCCACTATCACACCGGACAGAGAAAGCACTGGGGCATCTTAAGGCCAGCTTTTGGTTGACCCCCGGAGTTGCCAACCAGAACTGCGGGTGGAGACAGAGAGGGTGAAAGACGACTGTTGTCCATGGGTTTTACCTCAAGACAAAGAAATTCAGAGGGTCCGGGATTATTTGGTTTGATACATCAGCTCTGGGGTTTCAGCGTCCAAGGTCACGTCAACACCTGCACCCATGTTCTGCAGTTGGGGTTGGTGTGAGGCCGACCGGAGACTGGGTGCATCCTGAATAACCAGAAGGGACGCGTTTTGTTTTCTATTCCCCTCCGTGTCTCCCAGAAACGGACAAAGGTGGGTTAGACATGAGCTCATTTGGTTGCACCTTTCTCGTGTCCCAAAGCTTCCGGGCAGCACCTGCAATTCGTTTCTGATACCCCTTGGTGATGTGCATTGGTTCGAGGCCTTGAGCCCGTTCTTGGAGACAGGGGAAACCACCCAATCTCCAAGCCACCAATCCAAACCACCAATTGAGCAGCGCCGCAAGACCCGTAATGCTCATTTTCGCAGGTGGTTCTACTAAGCTTAGTTGGGATTAGAAGGCCTGTATAAAGCTTAACCACGTTAGAACGAAAGGTAAATATAGAAAGAGAATCGGCCAAGGATCAGCACCACCTGTTTACGACCCTATGCAAAACGAGAAAGGCGATATTGGCTTGTGAACTACCGCACCATCGCTTGCACTTAATTGCAAGAGAACCGCGTTGATCACAGCGGGTGTCGGTCGCTCAATTCGGCCATGGGTCAAATCCAAATCGAACTTTCAGTGAACATTCCAATCCCCACTAAAGTAGGTTCTAGAATGGGCGAATTCACCTACCAACCAAAATGGGATATCCAAATCGGTTTTGACCCACAGCCAATTCGAGTGCAGCGGAGAGGTGGTCCATGACAAGATCCACCTCACCGAGCGGAGCGCCCGAACGCTTGTGGACCTGGTGGCAGAAGCGCTGTAGGCGAGCAGGGTGGGTGGGTGGGAGCGCGGGTGTGTGTGTGTGTGTGTGTGTGTGTTTTTGAGGGAACCCTTTTTTGGGTTGTTTCCAAGGGAGACCAAAGGATAACGAAACCTGCTGGGGGCTGCATGATGGTTTCATCGTGTGATCGTGGCTAAGTTTGGGTTGAAACTGCCGCAACCCTAATTAATATAGATTGTGTCTTTTTTAGACGACCTGTTGCTTTGGTTTCGTCCGACACCAACATGACAATTCATACTTTGGTGTTGCCGACGTTTAAGATTAGAACCTGTCAATCGAATACTCTCCGTGCCCTTTGTAGTTTTGGTGGTGAAAAGACTTGTGCAGCAGCTTCTTTTCGCCTTTGAGGAGTTTACATTGGTAGCGAGAGCCTACCTCTCGAATTGTAGAGGGAGATGGTGGTCTTTGGCGTGGAGGACCCATGGCTGCAGGCTCCGCCGTTAGTGGCTGATGGGAAGAGGTCAATCCGCACGGGCTCATCAGGGAGTTGGAAGAGAAGAACGTGCCGGTGGATTCAGCGTGGACTGTGCCAGAGCTGAGAGCGGCGGTAGAGCATCGGGAGGTGGTCCAGAAGCTGGCCACGGGCTACTCACGATTCAACCTGGCTGAAGCGCATGTGCAACGAGAACAAGGTGGAAGTGCCGGACAAAGCAGCGAAAGCTCAAGGAGGGGCAATCAGATACCAGGAGGTGGCGGTGAACAAGTCACTGGTGAGATCTCCAACCTGGGCGAACAGGAGCCTGGAGCGGGACTACAACCTGAAGAGGGCGCGGTGGAGAACAAGATGTGACAAACCGCCGTCTCGGACACGGAAACCTTCTACGACCGCCGGGACAACGAGAAAACAGTGGCGTCGAGCGACTCGGACGGTAAGATGGAGGCGGAGCCGGAGGTCGCCGAGAAGATCGCGTACCTGGAGACGCAATGGGCGATGCTGAGACAGCAGCAACAGCCGGATCCTCGAGACGCTACCGCTACAACGAGAAGAACAGCTACGGGATCCATGATGCGTCAACCAGGGTGGCACTACGGACTATGAGGGTGAGACGGAGGAGTCGTCATCAAGTCTTGCGGTGAAGCAGGTTACGAGGAAGATGGTGGCGGCTTGGTCAAAGATGGTTGCGACCATGTGCGTTGCGGCGGCATTGTCAACACCTCTGTCCTATAAAACGCGGTCAGGCTCCCGAAGATGATGAAGATAACCCGGAGGTCCCAGAGGTGTTTGCAGGCAAGGCGAGGATCACGCAGAGAACCGCGCGGCGAACAGTGCAAAAGGTTCAAGACGAATCGCGCGGGACATCGAGGAGTTCAGGCTCAGGCTGGTGTGGTTCGCGCCACCATGTGCAGTGCGGGGACCGTGGACGAGGCTGAATGACTGCGGCAGGCCTCAAGAGCTACGGCGACTGCGGGCCAAGGAGAAGGTGCTGAAGGCAGACGGGCGCGGGCAGACACTTGATTATGGAGAGCCTGGAAGAGAGCGCGATATGGGAAACCCGACGCATGGTCAACCTGGCGAAGGAGGAGCCCATGAACTACTGCGTGACTGACACGTGCGCCTACGGACTCAAAAAATATATATCTGACGGCATGTTTTTCAAGAAGCCTACGAAGCTGCTGACGAGCCACGATAAGATCAGCAAGTCCCTGGATCGGCCGCAGCGTACACGTGGAGGTTGGCAAAGGCGGTTGCCAAGGCTGCGGACAAGCTGGATCACGCAGAGCCCGGCAAAAACATCACTGATATCGAGAAGGCAACCATGCAGAACAATGTGAAGGAAGCGAACGTGGCGGGCGTCGAAGAGATGAACCTGAAGGATCATGCAAGGACGTTCCGAAGCACATGGCGATGGCGCTGCGGAGGATACACCAGCTTCAGCCTTGCGGCGCAGACAGCAAGGCCATCAAAGGTGCAGAGAAGCTGAGATGCGAAACATGCATGGGGGTGAAGAGACCTAGTGCCGGCGAAAGTTGTGCTGCCCATGAACTTCCACGACGAAGTCGCCGTCGACATGTTCTACCTTGATGACAAAGACAAGCTGAAGCACACGATCATGTTAGTGATGGACACAACGACAGCGCCGGAGCACCAAGAGAGTGTGCGACCGCGGTTTCCAGAAGGGGCAGGACTTTTGTGTTTTCGCATGGCGCGCTGTCTTTAATTCATTGTATAGTCTGATGTATGCAACTGAGCGGTTGCAATGACCCCCGCAGAAACATCAACATGGAAATGCAGGACGCGGATCAACGAAGTCCAGGACGCTCGCATGGAAACAGCGTGACGTGTCTTTTTGTGCGCCTCTGGACAACATGAAATGTCGTGGCAAGTACGCAGATCTGTCGCCTGGGAGGGGAGGTGGAGAGGCGCTCAAGAAGGATGTTAGAAAACCATCGCAACAGCTTCTCATGCGAGCTTGAAGTTGGCCGTGACGCTTTGGCGCTTTGGGTTTCAAGTGAACGTTTCTTGCAGCCTTGCTCGAACGCAGATGGCTGAAGTTGGACGAGGTCAGGGCAGGGCAAGGCAGTTTTAACGCTCATGAGCAAGGCGCGGCCCCTGACGGCAGCGTCTGGGGTGCCAGTGTCTGCAAAGGGCACAGGGCACCTGCCAAAAGCGTGAAAGGGGGGGGCGTGCGCCAGAACGCCAAGCAAGTATCACACCCCGCCCCTCACTCCCCCCCTCCTCCTTCCTCCTCCCCCTTGCTGCCCCCTCCTCTGCTTTCAGGGCTGCTTGCTATGAAGCAGCTGTGTTCCAACCCTGGTCTTGGAAAGTTGGCATTGGGCATCTCTGTGGGAAGACGCAGTTCAGTCTTCGATTGCTGGGGTTCTTGTCTCGGGGCTCAGCAGGATCAGCGCAAACATGTTTCTTCGTCAGGCAACTATGGTGTACCAGAGCCTTTGAAAAAACCCACGCCACGTTAGTGTCTTGTCATTTGGCCCCCAAAAAAAATCGGACCAACATGGCAATGGGCTGGTGTGCCTGGCAATCCCTGAGTGTCTACTTCGCAAAATGATCGTGTTTCCATGTTGCTTGAACAAAAACATCTGTGCATTTCCATGAATGTTCAACGCGGTCGCCCCAAAGCCCTCCAGCAAGCAAGAACACCCGGGTCAGTCCCGGCCGCCCGCAAAGCGCGCCTGAAGCAAGACCAGTGCCGGCGCACCTCGGAAGCGTATCATGCCGTCCAAGGGCTTTGTCCGCTCCGCCACCGGCTCCTCCGGCGCGGGTCTACCCAACTCAGCACAGCCCGCGCCCTAAGACGCCTGTCCTGACTGACGGAGAACCATCTCTGCACACTCTAAGTCTCGCACGCCTGCAACCAGGTTTTGAGCGCCCTGACCGATGGCAAGCCCGCCCACCTGCAGGTGGCTACAGGCACATGCGTGTTTCAGTCCAGCGCCTTGAGGACAGGTCTCCGAGTTAAGCTGGTTCTGTGTTCGGACTGGAAACCTTTTTAGCATCCTTTTAGGAGATGGCGCGCTTGCACGGGCTCCGGCAAACTGGAACTTGCGTCTTGGTGATGGATTTTACGTACAAGATTGCTTCGGCAGGACAGGATTGCAACAACACAAGCGTTTCAAATTTGTTTCCAGGCTTACCCCTCACAATCGACCCCTCACAATCGTGCGCAGCATTGCCTATTTTTTGCCTCCGAACAAGCACGGGAATGACAGGCGAGCCATACACAGAAACCGTGCCAGTTTCCTGCATTTGGGGACCTAAAGAAGACATGGAGTCGGTTGCAGCCGGCATTGTGACCACGCTCGAGAGGCTACGAGAATGTGGGTGTGCTGCGCGCCCACGTCTTAAAACTGTAGTGCTTGATGGTGCCGGCATTTCGGCCGTGAAGCAGGCCGAGGGTGCCTTGATGCCAATGTTTAGGTGGCCAGCTAACAGCCGGAAGCTGCTTCTTCTGCAATCACTGGCATCACTGCAATCACTGGCATCACTGGGACGCATCTGTCTCCAAACTGTTCTTGCTAAAAGCAATAGGTGCAACAGCGTTTCCTTGAGGATCTGATAAGCACAGACCATGTTCACCCACATGTTGCAAAGACCAATGCCTTCTCAACAGTTTCCCTACTGCCAAAATAGGCTGTTGCACTGAGGCAATCACGAAGTCGTCCTGGAAGGAGATGTGTTCTCCATGGATGTCCTGAATCAGCAAACTCAAACGTGGAATGCATGAAGTTTCCATCTTGTCACCACTCGCATTTCTGATGTTGGCTGCACATGTACGTCTTTGCAACCTACCATGCTTCTCTTCCCATAATGGTGCTACAGACACATCTGCACCTGTGTCGATGATCACTCTCTCCAACCTCTCTGAAACTCTTGCAACTCGGCCCTCAATGCCAGTGCCACTATTCTCACACGCCTCGCTGCCACTGCTTTGCAAATGCACGCACCTGGAACCTGCTTCACCCAAATACCAGCCGTACAACTCATCGCATTTCCACATATGAGGCAAATCCTCATAGTCTTGATTCGCACCTTCTCCAAGAAGACATTCCATCTCCGAGTCACTACATGCCAGATCATGGAGCACGCATGGGCTACGTTGTTTTGCTTCTGATTGATCGCCAGGAAACTCATGTTGCTCACGTGTTTGCTGCCATGAACAAGAACTTCCATGTTTGCCCAATGAACCTGCAGGCAGTTTGATTGCATTCACAGTCCACTGGTTGATGTCGTCTTCTGAGTCAATGCGAAACCTCTGCAAACCAATACGTTCTCGGGGGGTATCAAGTTCAAACATCTGCGCACGCCGCACTGATGCACCATTGCTATTTGCATATGTTGAAGCTGAACTCGCATTCCCAGACTGTTGCTGAGTGTTGGTCTGCATCTCATTTCTACACGCAAGCCCTGCATCCTCAATCTGCCTCACATTGCCCTTGTTGTTACCTTTGCTCCAACAGTTGGCTGCTATATGACCAGATTTTCCACACTTAAAGCATGTTTTCTGGTTATTTTCCTCCTTTTCCTTTTCCTTTGCCTTTGTCATATTTTCCTTTTCCTTTTCCTTTGTCATACTTCCCTTTTCCTTTGCCTTTGTGGGAATCGTCTTGCTGCAAGCGGTCCACGTCCATGTTGTCATCCTGCCTCGAGTCAAGCAGAACCATCATGCCATCTTGATTCTTGGTTCCTTTCCAAATCACTGAAGCCTTGTTATAGTTCAAAATAGGTCGCGCGTTTCTGCATAACTCATGTCTGAGGTTTCCTGTTGTAACCGCATGTACAAGAACTGTCTGACTGTAGGGGGCGCACACCTGATCAAAGTTGCCACCACAAGCTCATTTGGACATGCGTGACCAGATGCCCGCTCATATTCACGTGTCAGTGCCTCAAATGCCAAAATGGATTCTTCAAGAGGAACCTTCTCTGAAAATGGCGGGTGCGTGCAAATACTCTGCAACACTGCAACTGCTCTTTGCCTGTTTGATGGACAGAATGTGTTGATCAAAATTCGGAAAGCCTCATTGCCATGTCCAGGTTTTACAGATTTGACAAGCCTCTGCACCTTGCCCTGCACCAAAGTTGCCAGCGCTGAATAGAATACAAAACTGCGGTCACGAGTACCTTCAGACATCTCATCATTGCTGACTTCTGTTTGAGACTTCTTCTCAATATATTCCAACTCTGAAGAAAACTGAGCATCCAAAGATTCCAACCACCTCTTCACATTCCAAATCCACTCTCCAAAGTGCCGCGTCTCTTATGCGTATCATGTCGAAATACTTCTGGTGTCTTCACCAAACGGTTTAGCGCTGACTTGTTCTCCAGCTTCATTGATTCTCTCAATGCATCTGCAGTTGTCCTCGCCGATGACAAAGCAGCATCCGTAGCATCTGTAAGTGCTCTTATCATCTGAGCCAACCCGGTGGTTCCACCCATTGGTGCATCTCTACCTTGACTCCCAGCACCTGCCATGGCTCGCCCTGTGCCCTGTTAGCACCAGCCATGAAAACAAACGGACAACAAATGCACTTTTGCCACCAGAGCTTGAGCCCTGAGTATATTTAGCCATGCCACAAGACAACATCCCATATGTTTTTATGGGTCCTACACAAATGGGTTACAAGGGTGCAAATTACCAACATTTTGGCATCCAACAGGGACAGATGCCGCTTGTGTGCTTTGAAAGACGGGCCAAGGTAGCGATGTGGCGGGGGTTGAGGGAAGGACTTAGAAAAATACTGTGGCCGGGACGGGCCCCGCCCGAATTGAAAGGTGGAGGGCGGCACGATGGAAATTAGGCTATTTTTGCTGGCCCCCGCTCCCTTCGTGTTTGACGTGTGGGGGCGGGGTCATGGGGGAGACCCTTATTTATTGAAAGTGTCTGGCAGGCGACGCAAGCTGTCTAGTACTACAAGCAAAAAATGACGCGGGACAGGCACATTGGCAATTGGGATCCCGCCGACAAGGTTGGCTACGACAGATGTGGGACAAGGTGGTGGAACATCAGAGTGTACGAGGCGAAGAGACAAGTTGGGCACCGGTGCAAGCCAGGTATCAGGCACCGAACGGAGAAGAACTGGTGTTGGAGGAGGTGCAAGCACATCGACAAGGACCAGACACTGCTGGAGGAGCATTGGAGTTGGAAGATGGCATTGCATTGCAGAGGGCGGCGAGGGTGGCGTTGTACGAGAGTCAAGTGTCACGCTGGGACCAGCGCCTTGCAATGCGATGGGTGCCAACAGACCACAAGCTGGCAGCATCCTGAACGAAGCCAAGCGATCCCGCGAATGGTGGGAATCTGTGAGGTCGCTGTCGCTACCTTTCCGCCAGAGAGCAGAGAATATTTTGGGAGTGTCCATCGAATACTCGCCGTGCCCTTTGGACCAAAGCCATTTGTAGTTTGGTGTTGAAAAGACATGTGCAGCGGCTTCTTTTCGTCTTTGAGAAGTTTACAGCACACATTTCTTAGTTGAACTTATTGCAAAACTCGGCGGCAGTTCGGGTGGCTTTCATGGGGTTGGGGGGTATTATGCCATGGATCGTCGTTCGGAATTTACACCACCACCAAAAAAGGTTTTAAAGTCAACCGCGTGGCCCAAAGAGTTTTGACCATTCACATGAGGCACTCAGGTCTTGTTCAGTGGGGCCCACCTTCAAGTGGAGATGGCAGGTAGTTACAACAATGATCCGTTCATCTGGGAACACAATTCCAGCTGTATCAACCTTAAATATGGTCGCCTTTTGGAACATTGAGTCTGCCAACTAGTTCTTTTGCTAACGAAAAAGATCACTGAGCAGGTTGGTCATATCCCATTGGTGGGGGCGACATCAGTGCTTCAGGAATGCGTATGTTTTAGCAGGCGGTCGACCGTTGCATATTCTACAGTGGTTGTGGGACTTTCTGCTTGTGATGACTTGTGGTGACAGGTTGGTGGTTGTGTGCTCTTGTGCGTGTGATGCCACTTGTTGTGACCCTGTGTGTGTGTGTATGTTCGTTTGGGTGTTTCTCAAAATTGGGGACCCTTCCAGGTGGGTGTTTTCCTTTTGGTTTCCCCTCGAAACCATCCAGCAAGGGGTCCCCTATTTTGAGGACCCCCCTCCATTTTTGCACGTATGTGTGTATGTACTTGAGTACATCTGTTTGTGTATCTCCGACTGCCACAGGGTGCTTTAAACCGCTTCGGCACTGGCCGTGCTGGCAAGCAGACCGCGACGTTTATTATGTTGTGTTGTGCTGTGTTGGCGGGCTGGATGCCACGTCTTGGTGAAGGCTTATTGAACTTGAAGGTGCGGTGTTTGCGTGGTGCAACATTTGCTTGAGAATGTGGCGGCCGTGTTACGCTGGCACCGGCGCTCGTCTTTAGGAAGTCTCCGTAAACTCGATGACCGCCGTATTTCATGCACGCAAAACAGCCTTTCTCCAAAGGACACTTTCGTACAGGCCGCATGCTGCAAGAGTAAGCATGCTACAGCCGTTTTGTAGACTTGTTTCCTTTGGTTCTTTCCTCGACGGCCTGAAGCTGGCAGGGTTCACAGAAATTGGCGTGCCTTGCTTGTGTTGCTGGCGCAAGGACGTCTGCGAAGTGGAAGCAGCATGGTTTGAAGCCTGCGGCACGAATTTTGCCGGGTTTGCTGATTCCCTGTTCTTTGCGATCCGATCTTCACTCTCTGCAAATATAATCCAAGTGTTGGAAGAAAAAACAATGCATCTTTGCGTATATCTCCGTATCTCTGTGTGCACGTCAGTCGTGTATGCTAGTGTGCGTGCATCAGTGAGTTTGTGTGTGTGTGTGTGTCTCTATGTGGGCACATGTGCCAACGTGTCCTTTTGTGGCTCTTTGCCTGTGTGACTTTGAGGGAATGGTGTGATCGATGGCTTTTCGTGACTAATTCACATACGTCACATCGCCGCAAGAGGCTTGCTTCGTGAAAAGGCTGCCACACTGCCACCATTTGGCGGTTGCAAGAGGCCGATTTGGGGTCAGTCTCCAGTGCCAAGTCGGGCTCCCTTTTGGGCCTTGCGTGTGTTACCAACTCCAAAGCAGTTCATTTCCCGGGGCAAAAGTCCAAGGTGTGCCCCCCTGGCTTTCGGCTGAGCATCGACCAAGCTTCCCCCGAAACGATTTGAACCTCTATGGCCAAATCACGAGGCTACAAAATTGATATTGGGCAGGTGCTTTTGCTTTCTTGTTCAAGTGTTCAACTTGCTAACTACCCGCGTCTTTGGAACAACCCTCTTAGCCGTAACCTTCAATGAGTACCTTCCTCGTGCCGTATTGACAGCGGAGGCCCGGAACCCATGGCCAAGGCAGCACGTGCTTGGGACAAAAAAGTGGCGATGCTCAGACCTAGCGCGGATTGAACAAAGGCCGCTACACCCTCCTCACAAACATGTCACCTGACGAGAATGGCCCCGCTAGAGTGGAAACTGATCTTACTACAATCACGTTGTGTGAGAAGAAATCCCTTTTCACTGCCGAGAGTCTCGCAAATGTCTTAATCCGATAGTGGAGTTAAGAAATCTGAGGTTTTTCCGAGACTGCTCCAAGGTTGGAGCCCTTCTTTTTGCCCTTTGGGCTGCTCAATTCGAGAAGGCAAAGGTTTGAACCCTGGGGGAGGGTCTCTATCCAGCCAATTGTTCTGCTTCTGCCATAGGTGTCCTTTTGTTTTGCCTTTAAACCCTTTCAAGAAGTGTTCCTGCCAGAAAAGCCACGCCCACCTTGGAAGATAGATACTGAAGGCTCCCTGAATGTCCGGTTTCCTCTCTCGGAGGCAAGCCCAAACGCACGCCGAGTCAACACAAGGACGGTCAACTGCGTCAGAGGGTGTTTTGGCTTACGCTCCAACCCTGGTCTGTAGCAGGTGTTCGCTGGATAGGGACGAGATGTCTTGCAGATGGGCCGTTTCACCTGGCAGCCAATTCATGGTTGTTCTTGTGAGACATTTTGCATTGTGGTTTAGTGGGAAATCCCCACCTAACTGCTACAGTTTAATGTTGTGCTCCCCTTGCAAAGTCAACCAAGAATTGTGAGCCGCGTCCAGAGCATGGCAAGGGGCAACACAACACTTCGCTGCGTCTGCTTTTCAAGGATGTCCTTCGTGAGCTTCGTTGAAGGGAATTTTGGCTTCCCCCATTCGCAGCAATCTAACATTCAATTGCGGCAAACAGCAAGTCCGCTCCGGTTGCTTTTTTGGGGGGCCAATGCACTCATCGACTGAGACAATCATGGACTCATGGATGCGAACAACAGTATGAGGTTTGCTATTCAAGGATCCATGACTATGGCCCGCATAAGGAGTTTGAGCCTTGCCTTTATGTATGACCATTGTTGTATGCCTCACCCTGTTCTCCTTTGAGAGCGTGCCGAACGGAGTTGGAGTTTGGGCTGGCTTCGAAGATTAGAGAGAGAGAAACAAAAAAGAGGAAGAGAGAAAGAGAGAAGGAGAGAAAGAGAGAAAGGGAGACAGAGAGAAAAGGAGAAAGGCAGAAAGAGAGAAAGAGAAAAAGAGAGAAAGAGACAGAGAGAACAGAGATAAATAAAGAGAGAGAATGAAAGAGAGAGACAGAGAGAGAGAGAAAGAGAGAAAGGGAGAGATAGAGAGAGAGAGAGAGAGAGAGAGAGCGGGAGAGAGAGAGAGAGAGAGAGAGACAGTTCCAGAGAGAGAGACGGAGAAAAGAGTAGAGAGAGAGAGAGAGAGCAAGAGAGCGAGCGAGAAAGAAAGAGAGAGAGAGAGAGAGAAAGACAGAGCGAGAGGGAGAGTGTTGCATCCTGGAAAGAAGGATCCGCTTTGGCCCTCGTCAAATGAGGAAATTAAATGGAATCGCTCAGGGTGCGTCAGTTTAAACATTAAAAAGCAAAAAAATAAAAAAACAAAATGAACTTTGCTGTTTGAGTTAAAATTGTGTTGAAGAGCTACTAAGTGCAATTGGGGTAGAAGTTGCTTAGCATTCCCTAAACTTATCTCAGAATAGCAAAAATAGAGGTTGGAAAAGGTGTACCCTGATGTCTGCTAACTTGGAGCCTGAGTGAGGGGTCTTGCTAATGGACAGGAGGGTACATGGGGACTGAAGGGATTAGTTTCGATGGGTTCCATGCTATCCATCCCCTCATGGCTTTTTAGTGGTCCTGGCTGGCTGCCGAATCCACGTTTTTGGATCGAGTGCTAGGGAAGGGGGCAGCGAACCCCCCCCCCCCCTCCCCCACAGAATGCTGAGGCGGCACAGTCCGGGAAATGTCGCATGGTGCCTGTTTAGTTTCCAAGCCTGAAGGTCCCTAAGGTTTTTGTTTGCAGGTTTCTTCATTTTGGCAGAGGCCTTCTAATGTCGACCCCATTTGAATCAACCCCAGTTTATGCATGGGGGAGTGTCACATTCCGAAAGTGATGATTTCCCACTAAACTCAGAAATGGACACCCCCTGGCAATAAACAGGTTGGTTGATTAAGATGGGGTTAACATTAAATGTTGCATAACTTCTGTGGGTTGTTGTTGCCAAGTTTCTTCATTTTGGTAGAGGCCATATGGCTGTGGGTCAAAAATAGGTACCCAAAATGGGTAGCCCTGGTAATTGGAAACAGCTAAAACCTGCGGTCTGGTGGCTTAATTTGACCCACACCCATATATTTTTTGGTACAGGCCTTATATATATATATATATATGTAAAGAAACAACTTCTGAAGACCAGTCACCGAGCAGCGGCCATTTGCCGACGACCGAGTGTTTCATGTCGCGAGGCCCTGCGGCGCAGCGGCTGGGCCTTGCGCTTCGCGTGCCCCAAGCTGCGAGCAGACCGACACCTGGTGCTGGAGGCGCATGGCGTGGTGGTTGGAAACCTTTGTTGTTTCCCAGGGGTGGATCAAGGAGGTTCATGGCAGGCTTGGACACCCCAAAATGTTTTTTTTTTCTTTTTTTTTTTTTTTCTGGGGTGTGGCATCGAGGGGTTCATCCCCACTTCTGCGATATCAGGGAATCTCCCCCCTCAATAAAAGCCCAGGCGTGTGGGCAGGGGTTGCTTCCCACTTCTATACCAGGAAACCTCCCTTTAACTGGAGCACTAGTCATTTGTTGGCATAGGTGTTCTTTTCAGGTCAGTTTGGTTAGAAATGTATGGGTTCCACTGGTTTAGATTGGTTGTATTTCATTCACTAGGGCACCTCCATAAAGTCAGATATGGGTTCTCTAAAGGGGAGCCTTTGCTTTGATGGACACAAGGGTTTCCAACCAGATGAAGGATCCAACTCTATTTGACACTTGATTGCTACTTGGCAACGGATCTTTGGAATTTGACTTTTTGCTGGAAACAGGTCGGATTTTTCTTTGGACGGTCAAACAGTCATTTTTTTTGGCAGGGGGGTCAACAGCAGCCAGGTTTTGGGGGCGTCGCTGGTTTGGGTGCGACACGGGCTCACTATTCTGAAGGTCCAGTGTATTTCAAGTGGTGAATTTTCCCCAAAATAGTGGTCCCCATTTTGGGTTGGGTTTTCAAGGGACACCAAAACCCAGTGCCTAGCCTGTGCTCCAAAGGCCCCCCCAAATCTCCGCTCCTCAACCCCTGAACTGAAGCCTGTCTTTGTGTTCTAATCCCTTCTTCCTAATGCTAAACAGTCCCCTTACTAAAACCGATTTTTGAAAACCCCAAATCCGGGAATACTACTTTTAGAATAGCCAATACTAAACCAATTCAAAAGTAGGCATTTTACCGCCCGTACCTAAATCCAGCCCCATTGGGGGACCCTCCCAGAATGGTGGCGTTCCTTTTAGGCGTTTGGCTCATGGCCTTCCCGCGGTGCGCCTGACACGCCCCGGCCTGCCAACAAAGCCATGACACACCCGCTTGCGTTACCGAAGGCGCTGGATGACTTTGCCTGCTTTCGTGTTTGGTTTGTGCTACAGTCTGATGGGACCCCTGATGTTCATCTCGCTGTGGTACAAGGGCAAGATGACCTCCTGTCGTGGCCTGCTGTCATGCCCAAGCCTGGCACAACAATCAGGGCTCTTCACGGGTTTATATGATCACTCAGGTGATTCTTGCCTGGGCATATTCAAGTGCTTCGCTTGTGCGGGTGGTCCAGCCCTCTAGAAACCAACCTCGGATGCTTTCGTGTCAGCCGTACCTCCGGGAACTCCTTGCAAAGCGGTCAAGCATGCGGTTCCTTTTTGTGGAGCTTTTGCTGGTTGGTCACATGCAGTACACCTCTTGCAGAAGCAGAGTGTCCAAATCAGGAGCGTTGCAGCCCTGGACTTGGAGGAATCCACCATCAAAAGCTATTGTGTCTCATTTGGGCCCACATGCTTTTCGCCGGGCACACCTGTGGGCTCATTCCTGCATCTACATGTTGTTCCGCCCTTTGCTTGGCATGCTGGCATAAGTGATAGATATCGGCAGCATGCATTCTCGCCATTGCAGTGTGATCTCTGGTCTGTCAATTGCCCTTGTGTTTCTTGGAGTCAATCGGGACGAAAGCAAGGATTGCATAGTGAAGGTGGCCGTGTATTGATCTGTACCACTGCTAATGCGGCTATGCCGCTAGCCATCTGCTGTGAACAAGGGGCAGAATTCCAGTCGCACCCGGATTGCGAAGTTGTTGCCGACCTCTGGCAGCAAGCTGGCTTTCGTATACACAGAGAAGGAGTGTTCGACCTCCAGGAGGTTGGTCCTGTCAGGAGGAGACGCTATCTCTCGGTCTAAGTGCGCAAAGTCCTGCCGTGCGCACCAGGGATCAATGTGATGAGCAAGTGGACTAGCCTTGGCCCCTTCACGCCTGCTTCTGAAGGTGCCACGATTGAGTTACCAGCAAGCTTGGAGAACCAACTTTTCCCAGGCCGGATGTTCTTAAGTTGTACTGGAACCCGGAGTTACTGCCAAGGACAACAAGCAAAAAATGAGCTGACCCAATGCTGATTAAGTGAGGCTCAGCAGGCCAAATCGCACACTGGCTTTGCACCCGGTGATGTAACGCGTGGTTTTGTCGTGTGTTAACCGAGCCATTCCCTTGACGCCAAGCGGCACACTCTTGGCCCCCAATTGGACCAAGCAGGTGCCAATAGCTGCCCTGGGGCAGTTAATGCATATCTGCAGCCAACTCAGTTTGGTCTTAATAACAGACCCTGAGGCTATGCTTATGGCACTGCCTTCTCAATATGTCGCAGTCTATGTTTGACTTCGACCTTGTAGTATTGGGTTTTGCCTCTTCCTCGCGCATCTGTCGCTTGAGGGTTGACAGTGCGGACTGGCCGTCTTTGCTTCGGCGGGGGGCGGGCAGTGAAGTCAAGCGTGACGGTGGGGTTCCTTTTGGTTTACCTTTAACACCACAAACGAGGGGCTCAG